AAGTCACTCACACAGCAGATCTAATCATTAATATTCCTAAAGAACAGGCTTATTTTACATGTCCAATGGACCACTGCAAACAGTTGGCCACTTTTGTAAAATCCTCTCTTGCTTCGATAGGTTTTCATTTTTTAATGGAAGGTTAACAGCAATCCCAAAATAGGTAGGGACATATTGGGTCTATCCAGGATTGCTGGTTAATATGGATGAAAAAATCCACAATAAGAGCTGACTATCCATCTACTTCGTCTGTCTTCCCTTAGCTTGGTTTGACTTCTGTTGGGTTCCACAGTGAACTACAAGCCATCAAGAAAGACAACTGTACTAGAAATAAATGCACGAAATCTAAGCCCTCCTATTGTTGCAGGAACTATATTCTGACAGTAAGTCATGGTTGTATTTAGGTGTGAACGTGTATACAGGTAGTCCCCAGGTTAAGAACGCCCAGTTTATGGACGACCCATAGTTAAGAATGGAGCCTATTGTAGCAAAATTTGAGTTCGATATACCATGATTTGAGTTCAATACACAATGGTTCGAGTTCATTACACAATACTACTTACACAGTATTATACAATAATACTGTTCCGGCTTACGTACAAATTCGACTTAAGGACAGATCTTGGAAACGGAACTCTTTCTTAAACTGGGGATTACCTGTACACATCTTGGGTGTTTTCAGGAGCGTTATCAAGACTGGCTCCATAAATTTGGCTTGGTTTCCATTTCAGTTGTTCATGAACAAGTTAGGCCTCAGTTGGAACTCTAAGCCCTGGGTTTCAAGGTAAGGATACATCAAACGTCCTCATGGATGATCACTGTCCTCTGCTTGCATTCAGTCCTCTGGCAGACTTTTAGCTTCAACTGATCTTTCTGTAGCCTTGCCCTGGAGGGTGTCTCTAAGAAGCTCAGGCATATGCGGAAATGAAGTGAGCACTGGGTGCAAGTGGTTCTCTCCAATGGAGTAATCCTCATTACTGGCTTGTTCAACATGCAGAGTTAGTTCAAAAGGATGATCTGAATTAGACCCAAATGTCTGGGGGTTTCCAGTTTCTGGAGGCTGTCTGTTACTAAGGCTGTCATCTCTGAACCCCACATTAAGCTCCAACTCTGAAAACTGTGGACTGCTGACCTGCAAATAGTTTTCTGAAGATCCTGAGCAAAAATCATCGTTCGTTTGTACAATTTCTGAATCTAAACCAGGAGAAGTTTCTGCAGCATCTCTCTCCATGTTTGCTGACCCTTCCACACCCTTAAAAGATAAAAGAGTATCAGGAACCTGATGGACCTCATCTAATGCTTGAGTCTCATCTTCTCTCAAAGGGTCTAATAATGAAACATTTCTTGCCTTCAGCTCTAAATCTTGACTATCCACATTGGCCAAATTAGAGAACTTATACAAACCTTGCTCAGAAAGAGGATTCCTACAGGAAACACTTGTCTCCACTGAAGGATTTGTAGAATACTGTGACATGTTCTCTGTAGACACCAGACAATCCTGTAAACTAGTAAATGGCAATGACTGTCCATGATCCTTGGCTGTATTTTCTGTATTTAGATTTGATTGCCTGGGAATATCAAGGGACTTTGTTCTAGATGGCATTCCTATGGGACTTGCAATATCTCTTCCAAGCTCTAAAGAAAATGTATTCACACAATCCAAGGATGGAGAATTCCCATTTTGATTTTCTTTTGAGCAACTTCTGTGACTCTCCTCTGATTCTTGTGGGCCTGCCCCTGAATTCATTGTCTGAATAACCACTTTGGAGTTCTCCTCTTTTTTGGAGCTGTCAGGTTTTGGTAGGTTTGAGTAATGCGTAGATTGTAAACTTACTTTTCCTGAAAGCTCTCCTAAATCTTTTCTTGGCCATTCCTTTTGACTCTTGTCTTTATTCACCGAATGTCCAAACAATGTGACTAAAGCAGACTTAGGTGCTTTCTTGGTTCCTGATGTTAGCTTCTGGTTGGGAACACTCCTTTGTGTTTTGGATGCAAAAAACTGAGCAAAAGGATTATTTTGTTTTTTTAATGGTTGCTTTCTGGCAGACTTATCTGTAATGTCTTGACTTGTCTCTATAACTGAGCCCTTACCATTTTGAGCTTTGATTTCCACAGTTACTTGTCCTGTCTCCTGCTTTTCTATCAAACAGGGGACTTCACAGGAGAGAAGTATTTCTGGGTCTTTGGTGTAAGAGACAGAAGCCAGAAGACTGGTATCTCTAGAAGTATCTTCTTGGAATGCAAGTTGAAGGTTATGTTCACTGCTGGCTTTTGCTGGTAGTTTTTCATTTGTGTTTGTGATTTTTATAGGAGGTTCTATGTTGCAGATCAAAGCAGCATCTTCTTGTAGGTTATTTCTTGGTAGAACTTCCCTGTTTTCAACATCGTCTGGTTGTGAGCTGGATAATGAACTACCATCTTCTATGTCTCCATCTGTGGCTGAAGAGCTAGTTGTATCTTTAGGTTCAGTGTTCTGAGAGTCTAAGTCAGGAGTGCATGTTAGACTCCCAAAGCTGTCTGGGGTTCCTCTTGGGTACATTTCATTCTTTTTAACCTCTTCATTCATTAAAGGGTGGGTTTCAGGAGACAGTTGGCTGTCCATGCTTGGTTGCCTTTCTGGATGCAGTATTTCAATCGCTTCTCCAAGGAATTCATTCCTGCTTATCCAAGATGGCTTATGTTCCTGGTTAGTTTTCAGGCATGACTTCATTGGATCAAAATTGGAAGCTAATGTCTTATCACTATGTTCTGTTTGATTATTTCCCTTCTCTTCATACCCAGGAGAAGATACCAAACCTTCAGGCTTAGATGGGGAGGGTTTCTTATTTTTCATTGGTGCCATGTTATTAGAATTCAGTTCTTCAGTATCTTCAGTTACTACTGTGTTCAATGTATTTTCCTGGGTGGCTCTTTGAAGTTTCTTCTTTGATCTGTTGTCCACTGGTGGTGCCAAAGCAGGTAACGTTGTCCTGACTTTAGGAAGAGGTTCAACCATCGGCAAGATCTGCCTTTGATTCTTTCCATCAGATGTGGCCTTCCAGGAGGAAGCTCCACTAGGTTTCTTGCCCTGGAAAGGATCTTTTGCAAGTTGAGGAGCACCAGCTGTGGTAGCTACAGGTGTTACTGTAGTACTTCTAAGTCCTCCATCAGGAGATAGGAATGAACTAGCAAGTGAAGACCTTGGAAGGTTCAGTGATAAAGATGAAGCCTTGGAAATGCTTCTCTCCACTTTGAATGAGTCAGACTGGAACCTCCTGACCTTTTCTAATATGCTAGACCCTATTTTTCCTACCTCTACTCCTACAATGCCTCCATCCACAAACAACTGTCTGTTTTCCAACACTCCCAGGTCTTGACTTCCATGTACTTTTTTAACCCAATGCAAGATGTGGTCCCCACTTTTTGGGCTGGTGACTTTGGGGAGTTGGCTTTTCTTCTTCTGTACCCGAGAACTTTCTGCTATTGACTTATCTTCCCAGGTCTTGTAATGACTTGCATCTGCCTGTTGGGAACTACGCAGAACCATGGCAGGATCTTGCAGCCATGTTTTCTTTGTTCCATACCTGTCATATTTCCTGCCAATGTCACCTTTAACATCTTTCTTTAAAGGCGAGCAGATGGTTTTTGGCTTATCACTCAGGCTACCCTGGGGGTGCAAATTGGAAAATCTCGGTGGCATTTTCTCTCGAGCCAAAATCCTTCCTGTGGGACTGTTTTTATTTTTAGACTCTCGTCTTGGATTTAGCTGTGTGTCTTTCTGCAGTAGCTGCTGACGGTTTGGGCTGAGGGTGGGGTTGGGGGGACTTTTTCCTACAACCCCGGCAAGCAGCTTGCAACAAATTTTGCAATAGAACGCTTCTTGGAAGACTGCGTAGTTGAGCAAACTGCAAAACACACACGAGAGAAATAATTATTCCTATTATTCCAACAGGTTAAATACCAGTTCCATCATATGAAGCAAGAATACTGTATATCCAGGAGAAGAGTATGCAGTTCACTAGGGTGGGCTAAGGAGACAAGGATTAAGTAATTTATCAATGGCCTCATGTATTTTTCTGAGACAAAACCAATGATCTAAACATCTGAAGTTGGGGGGGAAAAATCCTCCCTGAAAGATTTTCCATCACTGAATGCTAACCAGTTGCAATCTCCTGGTTTCACATTCTGTTTTGCAAAACCAATTTTACTAATGACACGGATTGTGATCAGCGTGATGTCAACAAGAAATTAGAGTGACTCTCAACTTCTTTGAAGGATGTTGAGGAAATTCTCCAAAATACCCCAAATACGGACATCACCAGAGCGGGTTCCCACTTCAGTCATATCACTGAAGTCAACACTCATATCACTTTCTCCATGCAAGAGATTTTATGGGATACAGGTAGTCCTCGTGTTACAATCACTCATTCAGTGACCATTCAAAGTTACCAAGGTGCTGAACGAGGGGGAGTTGTGACCAGTCCTCAGAGTTCCAGCTGGCACAGAGTCCCCATGGTCACATGATTGTGAACTGGAAGCTCGGTGCCCGGCTCACAATTATGATGTCACAGCGAGCCGTGGTCACGTGATTGCGATTTCCAACATTCTGTGCAGGGTTCCCACAAGCAAAGTCAACAGGGAAGCTAGCAGGAGGTCACAATTCACTCCCACTCCCACCACTTTTTTGCCCGCTGGCTCACCCACACCCCGTGGCACCTGCCTATGGCACTCCCTCACCCACCCTTGGAATCTGCCCATCTGCCTATGCTCTGTAGCACCTGCGCACGACACCACCCCACTTGCCCATAGCTTTCACCCATAGCTCTCACCCACTGGCCTGCTTGCCTGGGACTCCTGCCTTTTCCCATGTCGTGGTCACTTGAGGTCCTTGTTTAACAACCAACGCAGTCCTGAGGTTACATTAGCAACCAGGACTGCTGGGATTGCCATCACTAAGCAATGTGGTCACGTGACATCCAACTTTATGACCGCATCGCTTAGCGATGGAAATTCTGGTCCCAATTGCCATCGTAACCCGAGGACTACCTGTATCTTTTTCCAAAAGTTGGCTATGGGAATAATGATGATGCCAGCTCTAAAATTTCATGACTGACCTTAGTTTCCTTCTACAGTGCTGGCAGCAGAAACACATCTGGTGCACAAGAACGTTCTGGATGACCAGGCGCTGGGTTGGGTGGACCGGCTTACAGCACAATCCACATATTTCCTGCACTTCTACCTGAAACAAGAAGGCAGCAGCAAGCCAGGGTGTTCAATAAAATGATTGTAATTTTTATTGGACTGATCCATTAAGGCCATTAGGAATAGGACAGAAACTGATAAATTGCACTCCTACCAAAACTGGCAGGGCAAGCTACTGTATATAAACAGTGAGAAAACCCCACACTTACTCACATTGGCGATGTTACCCTAGTTGGGTAATGGAATGTCTGCAAGCAAACCACCAAGTTCAGAGAGCACCAAGGACTCCACATGGACAAATCAGTTGGAGTGACTCAGTCTAGAGATGTATAGAAGGAAGAGGGAATGACCTTGAAGGACAGGAGGAAGAGCCGCTACCAAGGCAATGGTCAGATAAGAGGGGATTGAGCCCAGGCCAAGGAAGTAACTTGAGAAAACATCTCAGACGAGCCCCTCCCTAGTTCACACGAAGATAAAGGGAGGGAAGGGGAAAGCAGATTCAGATTTGCAAGATTCTGTTACGATAAAAGAAGTCCTGATCTATATGGCATTGGTTTCTTAGTCAGGTCTACCTTGTAGGGCTGACATCAAGGGGTGTTCACAAGAGATGGAAAAAAAGTGAAGATAGTGGCTGCATGGTGCAACTGAAGCTTCCCCTGTTTTTTATGTGTGTCACCATGCACAAAAACACAGCTGGAACTTCGATCACATTGTTGCATCAGCACCATGAGAGGTGAACCTCCCAAAAAAGCAAACGGCCATGGCTTGCCACCAAGCGTGGACAATTCCAGAAGCTGCAGAAATGAGTCACGGGTTGTCAACAATGTTTCTCAGAAGCCAGGGAAGCAGACGCACACCTCATGACATTTCTGAGCAGGAACTGGATTGGTCTGGCAACCCTGGGCCAGGGGGTGGCAGACTGGGGCAGCTTACAGAGAACATGGCCTGGAGTAGCTTTATCCTAGATCTTTCCTTTCGAGTCTCCAAACTTCTGGACTCCCAAGCAGAAGATGACTGAATTCTTCCCCCAAGTCTGGGCCTGTCAAACTTGGTGTTAGTCCCATACAAACCAAAGGCTCCAGTGTGCTTTTGGATCCCAGTTCCAACAGGAAGCAGTGATGTGTCTGGGGCACATGACCATCCCTACCTTTGATAGCCTGCAGATCCCTGGTCCCCATCAATGTCCCTTTCCTCCTCACTCCTTCCCCCTCTGTCTGTTCATGTACCTGGACTTTCTGGGGGAGCTTTGTTGGGAGACCGAATCTTATGCCCGGATACGTGATGGAGGTGCACTCCGATTAGAGGGACGTTGGTTGCCAAAGCTACTTGTGGCTTATTTAAGCAAAACACAGCTTAGCATAATGTGCAAATACCGTTCAAATACTCCTGGGGAACAGTTGGTGAACAGATGATTGAGCGTACAGCGTAGAAATCCTTCAAGTTGATCTTGAGATCCATGGGGGAGAGTTCAGGATACAGGGAAAAAAATTGTTTGGTTCAATCTTTGCTTTGGGGACCAAACTGAGCCCTGAATGTAATGTAGCGACGTCAATTTTCTGGAGGAGATTTAGCGCACGAAAGCCTTCTGCTATTATTCCACTTGCCATCAAGGGTTTCCTGCGGAAATGCCTAAACCATCAGGTTGTTTTAGGTAACCTGACTGAAAAATTAAGTGCTAGGAAAGTTTGGGACCAGATTTTTAACTCTTTGGGGCCCAGCGTGTGTTTCCTGAAACGAAGCTGACATTTCTTTTCAAAAATTAACGGGGTGGTGGTACATTTTGATTCAGTGCCCCTTTGATTTCAAAACTTAATTCAGAGAGCAAGCAACTTTAAAATGCCACAGAGTGAGAGCCTCGCTTAGCTTAAAACAGATGAGGTCCCTACTGGAATGCTGAAGGTCCCAAAACTTATTCATCTTTTCCTTAAAAAAAAAAACTTTCAGGTCAGCCACGTTATGCGCAATGAAGAAGTGGCATTATTTTTACAGGCTTGCTATTTTGCATGGTTGGGAAGAATAGCCATCTGGGAAGACTGGTTCGGAGACGTGGGGGACACCCACGTGGAGATCAGCAGGAGGTAAAACGTATTTTCTCTGCTCGTTGCTTTTTTTCTCCGTATCTTCATATTTTTTGTAGCTTCTGAGCACTGACGGGATCAGGGGTGCTCACAGGGTATAGACAAAACGGCGAAGATGGTTCTGTGATGATGCAGTTGAAGCCCTGCCTTCTTTCAATGTGCGTCACGATGCACAAGAACACAGCTGGAGCTGCGGTCGCATTGTTGCAGCCACCATCTTGACTTTTTTGACCATACCCTGTGGACCCCCTTGAACAGGATTATCTACAGCTGTTAGGAGAGAGGCTAAGGAGTTTGAGCCCAACCTGGAAGATCCAGATTCAAATCCCCACTCAGCCAGGAGGAGGAGACAGTCACTCTCCCGCCACCGATCCAACCTCACCAGGCTGTTGTGATGAGGCTAAAATGTGGAGCAACTCTTTTCCCAAATATGTAC